GACATGTGGGGGCGTGTTAGAACGAGCCGTTTTAGGTAGGCGTGGCTGACTCTTAACTTTTATAAAGAATATCTCTTTGGATTTGAGACTTTAGTCTTTGCAACTTTACAGATCTTCTTTATGCACCAAGAGCTTGTAACACTTCAAAGAGAAAGGAAAAATTGAAATCGCTTCATATGACCCCTTTAAGTAGGTGGCGAAAGCTTTTGTTAGATCGGAAGGTAAAAAAGTCAACGTTGAAGGTTTTTGGGTCATTTTAGTACGGTTTTTTTATAATAATCTTTTTATTATAATCAAGGATGCACATAAGTGGTGCGCATGCACAACCAAAAATGCAAAGTTCAGACCGCTCATTTGCGTACCGACGTGGTTGACAGCTGTTAGCGCACACTAGTGTTGTCACGGTACCAAAATTTCAGTATTCGGTACCGATACCAGTGAAAATCGACGGGTCTCGGTACCAATTTCGGTACCAAAGCAAAACAAAAACATGCTAATTGAACAACATTTTTATTAATAACGTTAAACAAAAATTAAATGTACAAAACCAATGCCATTCTTTATACTTATTTAAACGTGTTTCAAGTTTTTCCACAAGTAATAAAAGTAAGAAAAAAGTAAACAAGTTTCACCCAAAAGTTTAGTCATAGTTCTGCTGCCACTGAAAAACATCTGTAAGTACCGACTTGGTACCGAAATACCGGGTCTTTTGACAACAGTAGCGCACACTCACTGTTTTAGATCGACGAAAGGAAAGGTCCTTGCAAACTGAATCCGAAATTATCGTCCAAAATTTTCGCACGTTAAAAAATAAATATGACTTAACATTTTAATCACATTTACACACTGCCTCTGAAAGTTTCGTCCATCATAAAAAATTCAGATCGGGTTCGATTTTCTGCTTTTTTTGCATCTGTAGCAAGCATTTTGATAAAAGGATGACGGATACGAAAAAAACACGACAATTTCAGACTCAAGGTCTTTGCACACAGTCCGAAATTCTCGTATGCTTTATTTTTTTGTATTCGTCATCCTTTCCTATCAAAATGCTTGCTACGGATTCACAAATGCAGAAAATCGAACCTGATCCGAATTTTTTTATGACAGACGAAAGTTTCGGAGGCGCGATTGGCACAACGTGAGGCCGTATTTATTTTTTAAAGTGCGAAAATTTAGGCCCTTCAGTGTGAAAATAAATAAAACACAATGAAAATGTAAAAATTAGCATATTAAAATAAAAATATTAGCAAAGTGTACTATAAAATAATAGCATTTTTATTTAATACGTTTTATTAATAGAATATAATATTATTTTATAAATTTGTATATAATATCATCGCTCTATTTTTTATATTTTGTTTATTTAAATAAAAACAAAATAAAATGCAATAATATTATTAATCATTATTTTATTTTTATAGTTATATGTAATGATAGAGCCCTGCACGGGACTGTTTTCTTAATCCTGCTCCCGCTGAATTTCTGACCATTACCGCCAGCTCCTGCAACATGTGTCCACTCCTGCAAACATCGTAATATTGTACATAATTTTCGCACATCCACTATCAATATGCAGTGTATAATCGATCGCTTTTGAATGTACGATGATTAAAGACAGCAATATTCAACAAACCATTTTAAAAACTGTATCGGGGGCGCCTCTACATAGCTATATCTTAAATTTGCAAATACAAAATAAAAATCAAATCTTTCAATTAAAATGCATTTAAGCCATGTGCACGTACACACAAGCCTAAATATAATTGTAAGCACATGAAAGAAAGCCTTTTGTAGAGGAAAAAAAAAATATAGGCCTAATATTGCAACTGCGACCAGGTCGATCGTGCAACAACTTAAAACTAGCAAGGCAGCAATAAAGGGCCATAAATATTTAGCTTACCATTAGAAGAACTGAAGCCAGCCCAGATTATATTTTGAGCCTCCAGAGAAACAACTGGTTCCACTTTACTTCCTTATGAAACGTCATTGTCATTTACAAATATCCATTATGCCAAAACTTAACTAACACATTTAAAAACATGTGCGTACCATAAAATAAAGCAAAAAAACACTAAGAAAAAAAGAACACTAATTTTGCAGGTTAGCCAATCACTCTTAAATTAGTCTCAGATTGCTCGCCAAATGCTCCCTCTTTAACCCTTAAAGTGGCCTGACCAAATTTTTGAACATTCAACTCTGCAACGGCGCCTCTTTCAAAAATATAAATTCAACATATGATAAAGAATGCAAAATAGTCTACACTACTTTCATGTAAACCTGCAGCTTTAAAGTTGTGTAATTTTAATTCTGTGATATCGATATTCTATTGGTCACGTGACTTCGTGATACCATCTTTTATACGATGGTTATTCCATATACGGTTTTTACATACTTAGCAAGTTTTCACAAAATAAAAAAATAATAAAAACATTATTATTCCGCCAAACGATGTTGTTCCTCAGAAACCGTTGTAGTTGCAACAAAGTGGTTGCCGAGCAACACACAGATGCAAAGAGGTGTGTGTTTGTAGAGTAATTTACAACAGCTTGGAACGCGGCTCAGCCAATCAGAATCAAGGACCGGAACGCTCCGTTTTATAATTAGAATTTTGGAACACAGTGAAGTTCTTTAGATGAGCTTGCGATTTGTATGCATAGTATTTCACACTGTTAATAAAAAAGCAAGCAAATCATGTATTAATGATACACAATGACATAAGATCAATGTACAATGTTTTTTATTTGATAAAGGCATACATTGAAGGTGAAACCAGTCTTTTGTAGGATTACTTAATATACACAATCTGTACATGTATTACTTCCAGAAACAAAAAGAACTATTGAATCAAACTGTAAAAACGAAGCGTTGTTAATAGCATTAAACATACTGTGAGTGTTTTCAGGATCTTTTTAAAGCTGCATAAAAACCACAAAATGTCGTAATATTGTATGCGCACCATCCTTCCATTGACACAAAAGCTTCATGAAACATATTTGCAAAAGCTGGCACCTATCAAATCGCATTGTGCCATCGGTGATGCCAGTCCAGAATAAACCCCTCAGACTGGTGCCTGTAACATTATACATGTAAACAATGATAGTAATATTACAGCATGTAAATGTCATCGTTTAGACCTGATGAAGAATATTTCAAACATTCACTTTGTTCTGCCGCTTCTAGCCGTCTATACATCGTATCAAAACC